CATTAGTGGCCTATATATGTTAGCTAGGCACCCAGACCGTGACATTTTGTCTGTACAGTTTAATGTTATGTACTTTTGTGTTGTAATGTTTACTTCTTAATTTGTTACTATTATTGTTTTCTCTGTGTTTTTCAGCTACAAAGAACAATCATAAGGTGGTCACTGGCCTGGCGGCAACAATCGGGAGTCTTGCAGTGGTTTTCGTTATTGCCACTTCTTACATGATATGGAAAAGGAGAAAATCATAAAGAAATGTCTCTAATCTCAGATTTAAAAAAAGATTCAATGTGAAACTAAATGAAAAAAAATATTTTAGATTTAATTGGGATGGGTGTTTTATTTGATTAACTTTTCAATGTGACCTGGAAAAGAATAAATATTGTGGCATAGTCACATTTACTGATAGTCAACTTAAAATACTACTGAATACTATTTGTATTCCTATTAAAAGCTATGGACAAATAAAGAGCATTTCCAACTGTTTTTTTCTGCTTGAATAAAAAAAAAACAAGGTCAAATATTAACACTCTGACCTGTCAACAATCCTTCCTCAGTGAGGCGCTGAAGCTCTTTGTACAGTTTTACACAACCTGTTTTGCAATAAGCATGAAACCTTTACCCCCATCAGCTCTAAAATGACATTTTGTTTTCTTGACTTTTTTGTTTTTCTGACTTTAAAGGTCAAGAACATCACTATGCTAATGAACATTACGTTTGTAATTTAAAGAAGAATATCGAGGAGCTCATATATGATCTGCCAATAGTAAAGATACAGTAACAGCAGTAATATATCAGCCACACCTTTGGACCAGACTCAACAGAGGTGCGAAGATATAAAGGCAAGTGCATCGTACCATAAGATACATCCGTGACAAAATTGGGGAACAGCCTCACTGACCAGATGAATGTGATCATCATCTCTGACCATGGTATGACTCCACTTCTCCATCATGGAGACGTCAAACAGATCATCCTCTCAGAGATCCCTGGCTCCAGCTCTGAAGATATATAGTTCCAGCTGTTGGATTACAGTGCTCTGGGGATGCTGCTACCTAAAGACGGGCAGTAAAAATAGAGGTCCATGATGGACACTTGGACAATGTGAGACAAATGCTGGTCTCAGCGGGCAATACCAGAGATAAAAGTTACCACTGTCCTATTACCAGATAGTAACATTACAAATAACACTGAATAAATAGGTGTTTGCTGTGTTCATTATTGTGTGTATTATTGTGTTAGAGCAATGTGTTTGCCATCTTTCTCACGTTTGTCGCTTTTGTCTGCTGTTCACAGATGTTAATGCTAATGTGAGGCTATAGACTGGCTCCTCAGCAGCAATTGTATTTTCTGCATGTCTCGTCATCATTGCCACTTCTTACAACACATGCAGAAGTAGAAGAAGGAAAGATGTGAGAAAGAACAAGAAGAAGAGAGGAAGACATTTGCCTTAGGAACAAATAAGCACAAACTGCCTCTTAAATATAGTAGTACAAGCATAAAAAGGGGTAAAATAAATGCACATTAATATTTCTGACTAATTATAAACAGGATGTGTAAATGCCCAGAGCACCATTATCAAAAATTTCATTATTAGTTTAGTTAGTTAGTTATTTTAGATAAGTGTGACTTGGTTATCCCCATGCGCTGACAAACGACGCCATCTTGTGATGTGTTATGAAAATTGCAGTTTTAAGAACAACAACAATGGCAGCCGTGTGACTACATCTACGCGCCCTAAGTCCTTTGTGGGAGGATTTTCAAACCGTCCGACTCGACCGGGAAGACATGCGACCGGACGTAGCTGCAAGATAATTCTTAAAACAACATATTTGACATTTTTGACATTCGGAACCGAGCATCCAGTGCTCAGTACAACAGCCTGCTCCCGGACGATGCACTGCGGTAGGGCCGAGCAGAACCGCCCGTAACGGTATTTTGTGATGAAAACACGGAAACGAGCGCTCCCTTGTGTTCTGTGACGCAGTTTATAAACAAAGTGAAGGATAACGTGCTTAAATAAAAGTAGAAATGTGGTTTTTAATTTAAGTCCCGAGGGAAAAAACGAATTACTGAAGCGTTTTATATCCATATAGAGGGCGTCGCCATGTTGTTTAAAGCGTTTTTATGATAGTCTGGGAGAAATCATTTTTACCGTAAATGTCAGACTCCGGAGATGCTCCAAGATTCCCCAGCTCCTCTGGACTCAGCAGCAGGGCCGGGCTGAGTTTCACCGCAGCCAGAGGACTTCCGGCCACCGTCAGGAGTTTGTCTTCTCCACCTCCACCTGTGAGATTGACTTCCCTCAGAACCAGAGACCTAACATTAGGAGGAGCCTTCAAAAAAACTAAGGTAACAAACTTGTTTTAAGGGGTAACGTAGGCCTAAATGGAAGGAAATAAATGAAGAAAAAAAGATACTTTTCATAGAAATTATCATCAATAAACAACATCAATTAAGAGAGAACCGTTTCATTCATCCTCTGGTGGAAATTGTTGGTATTACACCTGCTTCCACAGTACGACAGACAGGAAAAAATATTCAGTAATTTAACCTTTTATATTTTTATTACATGTGATTTATTAAGACCTTCGAGCCCAATGTCCACGCTGTGAGAAAAAGCAAACCTGAGTAAGTAATCATCATGAATTCCAGTCTTTGTGCACATAAACACATGATTATTGACATTTAAATGCTAATAACTATTGGGCCCAATTCCAGGGTGACAGAAAACATTAATGTGACTTCAAAAAAGGAGAGGAAGAGGGACGAGAGGAGAGGAGCAAGAGAGAACAGAGGGAGGAGGAGAGAGAAACCCCAGACTATCCAGTCTCACTCTATCTTTGAACAGGGACCTGCTGATATAATATGCAAAACAGGTCTGTGGTTCTGTGTACTGTTTTGGTCAGTCACATACATGGTGCAGTATAGTCTTGTCTAACGCTGGACCCTCTGCTCAGGTTTGCGTGGTGCAGCTGAGTTACGTGACTCCTCCACCTCCCCCGTGTATAAAGTGGTAAAGAAAGAGAGGAAACGCTCAGAGGAGGATGAAGACGAGATCCTCAATAAACTACAGAGAGACGATGTAAGTAACTCCTCAACAAGACTTAAAGTTGAACCATTTATTCACACACCAGCTGACAGCAGGCTGAATATATTTACAAAACAGGCAGAGAAGTTCAACACGTTTCTGATCTTATTCCACAACACTGAGTCAATTCAACCTCAGTGTTGTTCTAAAACAGTTGGACAACAGAGGAAGACGAAGCCCCGTCTCCTCTGCTGCTCGGATGTCGTCAGTCCTGCATCTTATTTCTGTTCTTTATGGTAATCTTTATGGTTCAGTCGAGTCAGTTTTTTCAAGTGGCGTTCAGTTGCCATAAGGGTAGACAGTGCCCTCTTGTGGCCATATATGGTATGAAAGCACACTTAATATTCTGTGAAATACAGCACTTTAATATTTCATATCCCGTCTCCCAATCCCACAGTTCATAGACGATCCAAATCTGAAGAACGATGCCAAGCTGAAGCCCATCCAGCTGCCTCTGTGTGACACCAGCAGATTCATAAAGAAGCAAACTCTGTCAACCACTTCAGGTGATTTCATGAAACTACATTCAACCCTGAGGGCAAGAACTAGAAATGTTGTTTCCATTTTTTTCCTGACTCTTCTGCAAACACAGCCTCTTCTGATATTAGATGGTAAAGAGGATGTCAGCCTTGCAGCTGCAAACGTAGCTCCACAGCAACTGCTTGTTGTGTAAAATGGAAGTAAACAGCATGTTTACTCTGGGATATCAACTAAAGAAAATCAACTACACCAACAGTACTAACCCTCAGTGACTGCAAAAGTACCTGAGGCTGCTGATCTGTATGATTCTCGTTCTCGTCCTAAACACTGTGGCCGTCATGTTGGCAGGTCCAGACGACCACAGACGTGGAGGGAGCTACAGCAGGACAGCGCTGCTGCCCAAACCACAGCAGACGTCTCTGGCAGACTTGCTGCATGAGCTCAGCACGTCAGACAGGCAGGAGCTCTTCTTCATGCAGCTTCCTGACTGCGTCCCAGGTCAATTGTCTGAGCAGAAGGATGCCCTGCCGCTCAGGTCTCCGACAGAGAAGGCGGCCAAGAAGGAAGGCAAGGCCGAAGATAGAAGACATCTGCAATCATTGGTGAGTCAAAGGAAGCACAACATGAAGTGCTGTACTTCCACATCATCACGTGTCACAACAAATGAGAGCATTCAGCTAGGCCTGAATCGCTTCAGCACTCACATGAATCAAAACCAAAAAAAACTGTCGGTCACAGAAAACCGGAAAAATCTGACACAGTTTTCCTTTGTTCTCTTCCAGTAATTGATCCAGACATTCCTAGTTAGGGCTGCACCCAGCAGTAGTCAGTTTAAACCACAATCACATGTACCAAAAACAAATTAACAGTGTATTTGTGTGTATTTGTACTGTATTATCCCACTGTCATGTCTCGTTTCTCATCGTATCATCTGGAAACATTTGATTTCCACTGTCATCCTAACACAAGGCAAAATGAATTGTGGGATTCGACACTGTCATCCACATCAGCAGCTGACCTTTTCAGTTTCAAAACATGAGGCGTTGCCATTTACCCAAATTTTGCGATTTCTGTGCGTTTGTGCCCCGCCATAGCAGCTCAGGATGAAGTCAGGATGCCCCGTGCTGTCACAGATGCCAGAGGGATTTTTGGGTAAACTGCAGATAAGGAAGTCAGGAAAGGTGGAGCTGAAGATGGGGGACATTGTCATGGATGTGTCTGAAGGAGCTGCCTTCTCCTTTTTACAGGTAAGGAAGAGAAATCAACAGAACACACTCCTGTGTTTGTCTGTGATTGTTAGACTTTGTGTCATCTTTCTCCAGGAACTGGTGTCTGTACGACACTCTGAAGGAAAAAGCGGAGACATGATGGTGCTGGGAAATGTCCACCACAAACTGGTCCTGTCTCCTGACTTCCAGTCTTTACTGACACAGGCAGCATCACAGCAGAAGAAAGAACCGTGACACAAACAGACAGCGTCTGCACAAGGACCTCAAAGGATGTCTGCTTGTTCACAGGGTGACTGTGTTTTCTTATTTCTGCTTGGGTGAAGTTTTTTAAGGCAGCTACTTCCTTACCTTTTTAATATCTGTCACACTTGTATGTCCTGTGAGAGCACTGCCAGAAGTTTTCCTGTTGCTGGACGGGAAAAGAAATTTCAGCCTTGGACAGATATTCTTACTGATTCCCGTGACCTCCATCATGTTACAGTTACATAAGCAACGATCAGCTTTAATACCTTTCACAACTGCTCCTCCAGAGGAGAGCGGACACACCAGCACAACAGCAACGAGAGACACCAACGTGATGTAATTGTCAACATCGCAATGTGTTCTCCGGAAGTCAACGATCATTAGTGAAAAGTCAAAATGATCCACCATTAATGAGATAAAGCTGATGGGAAAGAAGTCGGAGTGTGACTAATAGGTGCAGCTGTAGTTTTCCTGGGCTTAAGCTCTTGTCATTTGTAATTAGCAGCCCTTCCTACTTTGTTTGTACAGCCTATTAAAACTGCTTTCAGGCTGTTTGACACATCTGCTTATTACCACTGTGAGAATGTAGGAGGATTGTGACGATCTGTTCGGCGGTTTCTTTGCAGAGCTGGGCTCTTTTTTATTGTCTACCAATCATTTTAATGTCCTCCATACAGATGTCTCATTATGTGTAATCGGCCATTTTTCTACACCTCTGTTTCAGCAGTTTTCTGACTACGTCTTTGACTTACAATGCATACAACCTTGTTATTTTTCTGTGTTTTGTCAAATGTTTTAGAATAAATCAACTCTTTGTCCTTTGCTCAGTTTCATACTGCACTGATTCACTACAAATAAAATGTGAAGCCAATAAAGACAACAAATAAATATACATAGAAAATAACAAATGATCAATAATATCAAACAGGGACCAACTTGGGACCAATCATAGTACTTTGGGGTGGATTTTTGTTGGCCCACAAATTTTTCCAAACAATTATTTGTGTCCAGTTGACTAAGAAAACAGAAACTTACAGTATATTAATCCAAATACATAATACTTACCAATATTGATACTGTGCTTACAGTAGTAGTATTAATACATTTTTTATGCACTATACAGTTGTGCAGTTCATAACATGACTATATATAGAGAGAAAACTAGTCACACTCCCACTTACACCTGTGGTCAATTAAGAGTGAATTAGCATGTCACCTCCAAACACAAAGACCATCAGTTATTACTGGAGATCGAACCCGTGATGTTTTAGCTGAGCATCAGTAATGTGGTCCAGAAATCAAGAGTGTAAATTGGACACATTTTCACAGTTCAGTTAAAATACTTTATAATTTTTTGCTTAAACTATATAAGCCCCTAAAGGGACATGAGGAAAAAATTTAAAAAATCTATTATTTCTGGTGCTCACCTGAAACATACCAGAAGGTAACATTTCAGGTGAGCAACAGAAATGTTTATTTTCTTTCCTTGCCTGATAGAAATAGGTTAAAAACATGCAGAAAGTTCTGTATTTTACCACCCTCCCTTAGTTTAGACATGACTACTGAATAAAGAAAAGTAGTATTTAAAGTATGAAAAGTATTAAAAATGTCTGTAAATGTTTATTAGCTTAATAAACAATACAAATATCTGCCGTAAATACACACTAAATACAGCACATACCTGCCTAAGCATATTTCAAAAGACATTCAAAAAAAGAGATATTTATATAGACTACAAGCTTTTTACAGCTGCTCACAGAACACATTTCTTTGTCAAGCTTGTGAGAAAAATGCACTATTTAAAAACTCTGTATATGAAACAACAGGCGTCAGTTGTTACATTGTCCCCACAACAACAGGATTTTATGGCATGACTTTGCAACAAGTTTATTATAATAGATGATACAAAAGAATTTCAGTCAGGTTACATCACTGGAAACATGATACCCAATCTCCAGTCAGTGCTTTGCAGCCAAACAGAGTGAACAAACATGTGGCTTGAGCACCATGGAGCACACACATCCACTGGTAACATGTTCTGTAAGATGTGGTTTCCTTTATTTGGTTGGGGCCAATGTAGAAATGCATCTTAGTTTGCACAAATCAAGACTTGTTGGCATTCGGTCGTCACTTATTTCTGGTATTAGCATCTACCTGTCTACAGGTGTGGCTGTGAGTCACATGGTCACATTTTGTGTCATAAATCTAGCCTTCATTTGGTTTAAACACAACTGATATAGTATACAATATTGATAATTTTCTGTCTTGAAGCTAACTATGATCCTTGTATTGTTAGCTGTGTGGTTACCTGCTTGAGTGCGGACTAAGGTACGGATGCTAGCATTCCCATGTTAACTAAAGTGTAAACAGTGTTCGTACCTGAAATGTGTGAACAAACCCTTGCTGCTGTTGGTGTCAAATATTCTGGTTAACAGATAGAAATGATGGTCAACCATCAGTCGTTTCACTCCACCTCACTGAAAACTGGGAATAATGCCCCAGCTTTCACAAAATACATTTCACCAGGACAATGGTGAAAATCCAAATCCAAATCCACTTTAGTACTTTACTTTTATTTATATGTACTTTTTCTTTTTAATTTGCAAATGATTTAAAATGTTCCTTCTGTTGAAGTGTCCTGTTGAATCAGGGTACAGCCCCTGGATCGGCCCAGCTTCTGTCATCAACAACCCTTTTTCCCTTTTAAACTCAGTAGGTAAACACAGCTTATGTCATTATGGAAGGAGGCAAGCTTCTTATCTTTCTCTTCTTAGATTCAGCCTTCAGTAGCTTGACTTTTTTTTTGGCCACAGTTTTTAAAAATGTGGAGAGTGTTTTCCCTCGGATCACGTCCTCTCTCCCTATTTCAAGCATGTGGGTCTCCCACAGCCTCATTTCATTCCTATGGCGGACTTTGTCATCCTCAGCCAGTTGAACGTAGACCTGAGGTAGGTAATGTGGAAAATGTCAACTTGGATGATTCAATGCAAGAATTAAAACAACATAATAACTGTGTGTGTGTGAGAGAGAGAGAGACAAACCTGTTTCTCCTCACTTGAAAGACTTTTCCAACCTTCAAAGAGCTTCTTCATTTTTTCCTAGAAAGAAGACAAAAGCATTATTGTACTAATAACAGTTGTTTTATGACAGAACTTGAATTGATTCTATACATATACTGTATTTCTTACTGACTGGTCACTACAGTGTATTCATCGCTAAACTACCTTTACTCACCAATGCAGTGTTTCCTTCTGTTCTTACATAATGGTCTATTATGTAGATGTTGATAGCATTGCGAGGACCTTTGGGTTTCCCGAGGTCACTCAACTCCTGCATCGCATAGTAGTGGAGTAAAAACATGAATCCATGATGAACAATAATAAAATGTTCATAGTACTATGGGATTATTATTATTATTGTTGTTTCAGCTTTCCATGATATTTACTGTCCATTTAATGTCCATCTTACCTTCCTCTTGCGTCTGGCCTTCCTTTTGTCCTGTTTCTGCTTTTTCTCTAGAGCATGTTGCTGGATCTGTTGTGGAGTCAGCTGAGCCTGGTAGTTCTTCAGATCTACCTTGAACTGTTCCATGTCCCGTAGGTAGGCCTCCATAAATGGCTGCAGGTTTAGGAGAAAAGAAAATACAGTGTTCAAAACACAGGTCTAGTTATTAAAATTTCCTCCAAGTAAAAGGTCTGAACCGAAGTACAGCCTGTCTGCAATAACTTTTGCCTATATCCACATTTTCAACAATATTTCACAGTTTCAACAATATTTATTGTCAATATTCAGTGCAGGCAATATTTGCCTGAGAGAACAGGTAGCTATTTTACCATAAATAAAAGCAGTCTCACCCAATCAAAGATTGAAAGAAAAGAGAAACCTCAGAACAAACAAAATCTAGGACTTTAACTTAGGAAAAAATATACTGGATTTTTAAATTGTTAAAAAGTAAAGGATAAAAGTACCTTCTTCTCTTCAGCGCTCATCTCTCTCCATTGTTGGGCAATCATACTCATTCTTTGGTTTACTGTGATTTCTAATGGCAGAAAACACAGGATGGCAACAGAAAATGAAATGATAGCATAAATTAATAGATATTTAACTGGATTTCAAAAGCATAATTTTAATTAATAGAAACCTACCTGGGTTTCGACTTGCTACAACCGGAGCCTGTTCAACGTGGTATCGTACAAATCCATTTGCAGGTCTTTTTGGTGGGCCGTCAGCCTGAGACTGGAAACATCTCACTATCCCCACGGAGGCAACAGGGAGGAGACTGGTACGCCTTCATTATTTGAGTAACGGTAATAGTGTGAATATGCAAAACTCTCATTAAACAACTGTTTCAGCCTATATATTTTCCATTCAGGTTTATGCATACATCGTGTGCACACAGTTAGTGTTATTGATAAAATTAGATTTTTATTTTTTATAAATTTTAATTCTAAATAAATAATTTATAATTTTTTCAAATTTTATTTGACTTTTCTTGTATACACATTTTTTCATGCCTTTATTAATTATCAATGGTAAGCAACGTGTTAAAATTATGTACAAAAATATAGTAAAATTTAGAATATCTTTGCACATAATGGTAATACTTTGCAAATCATTACATCACATTACAATACATTTAGCAAACGCTTTTATGCAAAGTGACTCACCATTTGAGTCAGTCAATCAACAATCAGTGTATTTTGTTTTTGTATTGATCATTTATAATGTGAATGATGAATACAAAAAGCAAAATACACTGAGTTGCGTGTGCAATTTATTGTTAACTTTAATCGACTTTAGACACAAAGAAAATAGCATTTGTTAGACGAGACCTGTCTCTTTGATCTTAAAACCGGGTAACGGTTAAATAATCACAGATTTTAACCCCAAGATGCCAAGACAAGTTGCCTTAAGTAATTAGGCATTTGCGTCTTAATGCTGCAAGTGGTGACATATGATTTACACACAGTGCACACATTAAAAACAATGTGCTAATTTGCTAATGCTAGCTGGCTCCTGCTACATTAACAGGAGCTCTGCAACAAAACAGAATAGCTATACCTTGCCAATGATCCAGTGCAGGACAGGAGACTGAAGGACCTCGCCAGAAGGCTAACACTTCCTGTTAACAAGCCGAACGGAGCCATAGTGAATTATGTTTGTGAATATTTAAAGTGAATTTCTGACTTATTATTCCGCAGAACTGGCGAAAATGATATATTAGCACGCGTTTGTATTTTCCATTGAAATAGAAGTTCACTCTCTCTCTCTCTCTCTCTTTCCACCTTGTTGACATGCAGTGCAAACCAAAAGGCGCCCGAGCGCTTTGCGGTGCATTCTGGGAAGACGGCCGAAGCGTCTTAACATCCTCAAATTTCATTGGCGGGTGTTTAGTTCTAAAAACGGAGTAATTGGTTATTGTCGTTGTCAGAATGGACCAATCAGAGAAAAGAGATAGAAATGGGGGTTTTAGTTAAGCCTCGGCTTTATTTTTTCTTCATTTCATTTCATTTTATACCAAATATACGTAATTAGAGTCTACATGTATTTTGCATGGCAAAGAGAGTATTAGTTAGGATTTTCTTTACTTTTTTGTTACAGACAAAGGCACAGACTACTCTAATTTTGCAAAATAACCAAAAATGTCAAGGATTGGAATATTTATTCATCTGACAAACTCTTTTCACTTTTTCACTTCTCATCTTGTTTTATAAACAAATATAAAAAAACATTCTTTGTAATGTGATGTGTAAAGTAAGACATTCTTTACACATCAACACAGGATGCAAAAATACATAAATAATAATCTGAGAATGTCTGCAAAAAACACCATTTATTTCAGTACAAAAAGTGTCACACAGGCGTCAGGCAAACATGAGACTGCATACACAGAAATATAAAAATTATTTTTTTAAACCTACTCTAAAGGGTAGATAAATAAATATAAAACAGACATCAAAAACATAGAGGAACACGTTCAACCTTTAGATACATGTTTGTGGGTTAAAGAAAATAAATAAATAACAACAACAACAGAAAAACTTGTAATTGCTCCAATGTAAATTAACATCAACAATCACTTTATATTCCTTAACGGGAACTTCAAACAAGACATTGAAAATTATGTCCAGTTATGGATCAGCTGAAAGCAAACCAACTACCTTTCTGGTACTTGGCTCCTGTCTGTTTCTTGACATATACATTTAAAATGAAAAGAAAATGTAGTGATGTGTTATAAATAAAATTTGGATGAAACAAATGAAGACCTTGCACACTTTTTTGTTCCACGTAGAGGCTCTGCTTCCTATTAAAACTAATTACAATACGCCTTGAAAGTAACAGTGAAAATAGTTGAGTTATTGGAAGAAAAAGGATTACGCCAACCTTATTTTATATCAGTGTTGTGACTGAAACAGCTTAAACAATTGGAACACAAATGTTCCGTCTGTTTTATTTATTTTCTCTCATGTGATTTTTTGTTAAGAAGCATACTTTTGGGTCCATTCTCTTGCCAGTCTGTTGTATCTGAAAAAGAGGAAGAGGCAGAGTCATGTGATGCTGTCAGTGATGAGAGCAGACACCTAAACGTCAGTGTAAACTTGCCTGTCTCTGTCATTTACATATATGGTTGCAATGTCTGGAACTAAGGGATCGTCTGGGTTTGGATCACACAGCAGTGAGCATATGGACAACAATACTGAAAAGGAGATGAAAACCGATTGATGTGTATACTAAGGATGTTTAGGGACACAAAAAACTAACGAGACACATCAAAATGACGATTTTGATGACAACAAAAAACCAATAAAGACTGTGATTACCTTTTGACACTGTTAATGCCGGAGACCACTGAGACCGCAGAATGTCCAAACAGATGCTGCCGTTGCTATTTATATTGGGATGATAAATCTTTGTTGTGAATGCTACCTAAATGAGAGAAGATATTCTTCAGCTAGTGCAGTTTCAAGAAAATCAATTTATGACCAACTTGCAACAGATTGGATGAGAATCTTTGTACTTTTTAAAATGTTAATAAAAGGTTAGATTTTTATATAGAAGGTCTCACCTTTGGTGGCTTGAAAGGATAATCTGTGGGAAAGTTGATTGTAAGAAAGAAAACGCCTCCTTGAAAAGGACTGTCTGCCTGGGGTGAAGACAAGAAAGGTGACTGTCAGCGTTATAGATTAAAGCAAAGCATTTAAAATCATTTTTATCTCTAGAGTAAAGGAAGGGAAGGGAAGTAAATATTACACACAACCACCAGATCAAATGCTGTAAATGCAGTGTCACACTTGTGTCAACAGGCTAAAATGACTTGATTTATCAATATGCTCCCTCATACAGTAAAGGGTTAACCCAAAGTCATGGGGAGCCTCTGTTTGAAAACAAGATAACTGAGATAAATGGGTTACAATTGTCTCCTACTAAAAGCAAATCTTATATTAATTATAATTATAAAGTTGTATTAGATGACCTGTCCAATGACACGTCAGTATGCAGACAATGGTACCCTTATACCAAATATCCAATCCAATCTTTTGTTTCAATTGTATTTATTCCACTGCAGGTAGAAGCAATGTTGTATGTAATGTTCTAAACCCTCTCCCTGTTCTCAGTGAACCATCAACTACAGTCATGACACTCACCGGGCCCATTATAGTTGCCTGCCATTGAAACACTAGATGAATGGGGGGAGAAAGAATGCAAGTTATACAGCACATATTACATATATATGTTGACCATTTTAATATAAGTACAACTGTAGGACATTTAGTAGTCTAGAACAGGGTATCCAACCTTTTGATCTCAGAGAACAATTTTTTACAAAAAAAAAAGGCTTGTCGTGTTGTGTAACATTTATTTTCATAATTTGAACAAAGTCAATAAGTTTATTTCGCCTAAACATTTACAATATTTGTCCACATATAACATTTATATTAACTCACCAACGTATTTTATTATTGTTGTTTGGTAGCGAGGCAGTCCACAAAGATCGCCAGCAGACGGCGACATTGTACAGAAAATTTAAAATAAAAATGGCTTATTCCCCCCACCATCAGGACTCCAGCTCATCTCACATCACCACTGACTAATCAAGGTTGACAGCAGCACATGTTTTGATCAATAGCTAAATGTCACATAAACATTTTGTTTTGTTAGGGGGCAGGACAACTGTCCATTTTGATTGGATACAAATTTAGGCAGACTTACAAATCATCAAATTTAGCTTTCAAATGTTTGATTCATCAGCCTTTTTGGCGAGCACCTTTGAAAGGGGTAACAAGCTACTGGTAGCTTGCAAGAGAAACGTTGGTGGCCCCTGGTCTAAAACAAATGTCACTTCAAAACCTTCTGTTAATCAAGTTTTACTTCTGGGACCATAAACACCAATCAATTGTTTTTCCCCACATTATTCTCACATTAAGGCATACACAGATGGTAGATAGACTTGTTGAGGGTATGAAAAAGTACATCTATTCAACCTGCTTGACTCCAAACCACCACACCTTAAATAAAATCATTAAGACAATAGTAATAACGAGGATTGCTTTGATTACAATTAGGAAAAGGTGTCATAATGACCCATCTGCCTAGTGGCAATACACAGGAATACTCCTAGTGGTAATACAAAGTGTATACTCACGGTCATCCCCTACTGGTCCAGCAGAGCAGTTTACAAGAGGGTCATTCTGCAGGTCTTGCAACTCCTGATGTAAAAAGCAAATTGCTGCAGCAGGTCATTTAAAACCACCATTAATGCTAACGGTTGCTGTATTACATTCAGAAAGACATTGTGGTTTACTTGACACTAGCTTTACAGAAGCATCAGCATGAAAACAAAAGAGAATAAGAACGGGTGCATTTACAACAGCTCTAACAGATGAATTCACGCGAAACTACAGATATGGCAAAAGAAAATATAAAAATTAGTAGGGGTAAAAGCAAAGCTTAGAGGTGTCAGATAAGTTTAAACACCGCCCCGGAAGTTACCAAACTACTTAACACACGAAGCTAACAAGCCACTATGGTAGCATCACATTTCAAAATAGTTAAAGTTCATGTTTTTGTGTGTGTCATTGATTTCTTCTTAAACCAAACGTGTAACAGGGTCCAAACGAGTTGATAAGACGTACCCTAGTATTATCATTTTAATTTTATTAACCTGTTGGAGATGATGGGATTCTGACGCATCAGCTACAGTAACATTAGAATTAGCAGGTAGCTAAAGCATACCTTGTTTATCCTTTTCTGTGCCATGCTGATCAGAGCAGTTCCTTCCTCTGCACACTCTGATTTTATTTTTTACGTTGAGTTTTAATGTTTCTAACAAAGACGACTGGAATCAGAGTTCCTCCTCGACAAGTACTGTTTGTTTTTGTCCAACAGTTCCGCCCTCCTGTTTATAACTGTCACTCCTTTGAAGTGGATCATGGGAAACGTAGTTCTGTGTGACGAAGCGTCGTTGTATTCCTTTATTGTATTACGTTTTCATTCATAATGCAATGTTTATGTAACAAAATGGTGAATGTTGCAGATTCATTTGATGGAGGGCGAATATGTAGGTCAGGGGTGGACGATCTGATCCACAAAGGGTCGCTGCAAGCCGCAGCACACCTGGATTATTTTAATCAACTGATTAGAGTCTTTTTAGACAGTTGATTGGTCAACAGTCAGTGTGCTCTGTTTAGGCTGGAACAAAACCTGCAGCCAAAGTGGCCCTTTGTGGAAGAGATTACCCAGCCCTGACCTAGGTGAACAGAGTACTCACCCTGCTCCATGGCCAACGCCCATGTGCACACACACCAAAAATATGAACTGTAAAGGACCTGCAAACATGAACACAACACACTCAACGGGAGTGTGCAGCTCAAGTGAGAAACTCTGAAACACCTGTCCACGTGGTCACCAATTCTGCAGTACAAAGACTAAAGAAATAAAAACTGTTGTTTAAAGACAAATAATCGCTGCAACAATCACTTATTGGGGAATATATACTATGTGTGTGTGTATGTGTGTGTGTGTATGCATTTTAAACAAGGGGAGATATTCACCACCAAGCCAAGTGTTTCTTATTTTATAGTCAGACTCTGGTCTGGTATTGGCTCACCAGCTACTTAAACATAAGGTAGTGGGAGGGTCTAGGTGAGGAGCTATCAAGCCTTTTTTCATCATCATCTTAGTTAGTGTTCTACAGAGAAGTGAAATATACATAATTTGCAAGTAAAACAGTATAACAACAAATTCACAAAGATATTTAAATCATTATACGTATTTCATTTTATTAAAAAATATTGCCAAAGGTTAAAAAATATTTTCTGTAACAAAACACATTGTTATACTCAAAATGACATTCACCTCAAACTGACTTAGCAACAAACACAGAAAAGCAGTTCTGTATAACTTATTTTCTTTGTTTTTCACAAATCTTAAAGCCAATCTTTGAAATGTAGTGTTATCTTAGTGCCTTTCCTTTGTGTTGCCCTTTTTCACATAGTTGATGTCCAAACAGCAGCACCAGTGACAATTGTTGGTCTCTTCTTTTGAAGATCAGTTCTAAACATGAGTGACTGTCTTCCTGTCTGGAAGAATCTGCACTCCCACGTTGTATTCGTTTCTAGGAGCTGAGTTCATTTGTCACACTGACTTTTTGTTTTGCAGGCCTAAAGCAGCATTGACGCAGTATGGGATAATACTGACGGAAATCAGAGGTACGGTGGCACTCTTGCAGAAGGATAGCAGGTAAAACAGTGCAGCAGTGTGGGTCGGGGGCTTGAAGGAGTCAAAAAGATGGAGCAGGAGCAGAGAACTGACGACACAACCTGCTTTCACCCACTTGTTGCTGCTTTTTTTGCTTTCGGTGTATAGCGGAGAGTGCAGGCCCAGGCCCAGACCGAACAGGGTGCCCATGTTACGCAGGAGGCTGGCGAAGGGCGTGCTGTCCAAGTGGACCCACTCGGATCTGATGCACCACTTCTGGGCTTTCTCGATGGTCCACAGCAGGTCCACACCTACGGCTTTGAGCAGTAGGTAGAAGCCCACAGCAAAAGAGGTCAAGAAAAGGGTAGTGTAGAAGTACTTCTTCATGCTGGCATTGTAGATCCACTGAGTTCTGTTGAAGGCCTCGGCCACGATCATACCTGAGAACCACAGTGTGAAGGTCAAAAGTGAATACGATGAATTCTAATTTTAGTAGTTGTTTATTGATTATGGCAATAGATAGGTAATCCATTGGATATTAGATTTAAAATGTTTATTTTATAGAGTGAAATAAATAGTTGATCCCCAATAACTCACATATAAAATTCTGGCTTCCACAGATTGGCTGGTGCCCATGTGTGAACAACCAACCAATTATTAATTTTCCTGATCTTAATTTGTAGTGTGTGTGTGTGTGTGTGTGTAATGTACACTTGCTCTAATGCTCTGCTAATTTCTTTGTGAGGGGGAAAATTTAGAAAATCAGAACCATGTCCATACTGACCGGTCAGGACTCCAGCAACGACTTGGTGGGGAAAGTGGGCGGCGATGAAGACTCTGGAGAGACACACACACACCTGGACCCCCCAAAACAGTGTCCACAGAAGTGCCTTCAGATACCTGTCAAACACAGAGACATTTGGACGTCTTCACTAACTATTTAGCAGAGAAGCAGAATTCAAATACATTTTGTTTTGTGCTACCACTGGAAAACGAAAAGCAGTGAGAGTTGACACAGTTGTTCTTGGCTTATCAGAGACCACTGAACTGCACAGACGTCAAAACAACCCATTTGTGACCCTCCACCCCACATACACTCTCTCCTTCTAGCAGTGGACAGAGATCAATGATCAACCACAGCAGCAGATAATGTGTTCATGCTGATAAGGTCTGAGTGAGTGACAAATGGTCAACAAGCTTCCCAGGAGAGAAAAAGAACTCACCACTCTCTGTTAGCAGATTTCTTGGTAGCATGTTTCTTCTTGCTGCTCATTAGGGTTAGGATGGAAGTGACCAGGGTGTAGTAGACACCAGCGGCACCCATGGCGTGTCCTGAGGGGCTGCCTGAAAGACACAGGATGAACAGTTAGAGGGCGTTCTTCATATCTTTTTATTTGACTGAACTAAATAAATTTAATTCAAAGTTAAAAAAAATAAAAGTGAGATGTGTGTTTACCTGGTCCAGTCTCACAGGTCATGGGGTACTGCTCAATATGTGGTACAACTCTGTTTGCGTAGTAAGGGGACTCATGAACCCACCAGTATGGCCGTTCTCCAAACAGGATCCTGTGGAACACAATAGAAACATCTTTTTAAAAAACATTTATTATTTACACTGACAACAATTTAACTCCACATGATGGACTCTTCTCACCATTTAAACACCAAATTCAACCAGTCCCCAATCACTGCCACCCAGATGAGCTTGATGCCGACTGAGGCCCGCAGGTGAAACCAGAGTGGGAAGAAGATGAAGAAAGTGTTCCTCAGGTCTGCGGCCCAGGACACCCACAGAAACAGACCCTGGGCGTCCTGATAGTTAGTCTGCAGGTAGTTGGTACTGCTCACCCCAAAACCCTGCAGTGCGTCCATGACGGAGCTGAACATCTCAGCCTGATGTATGTGGATGTAAAACTGTTGTAGAGTGAGTGAGTGAGAGTTACACACAAAAAAACAACACTGACTGTTGCTATCAGTGACACAGCTGGTGGATTTTATACCAGAGGACCCACTACCCAAACGCATGCTCATGCTGATCTTTGGACCTTGCACATTCTGTATGCAATAAAACACATGGAGTCGGGAGACTTTGGGAGTTTGTCACACAAACAAGTGGAAAAGATATCCAGGGAGAATACGTCAATTACTATCTTTTCGGTGAAAAAAACTGCGTAAGGTTATTGACCATTGACCTTTTTTTTATTTTTTTATTTTACACACTGACCTACTTTAACTAAATACATGCAGGCCACATTGCTGCAGACTGGTATTTGCCTCTAAAAGTTTATTTTATTTTATTTAGTTTTCTGGCCTAAAAAATAACTTAATCTTATGATTTCATGCTTGATTTCTATCCTTTAAACAGGACTATTTCAATTGATTATTTCTCCAGTAATGTAATTGTTTTTGATGGTTGGGTGAAAACATGGCTCTACTCAGAAAGATGGAGTCACTCCTCTGTGGATTACATAAGGAGATCAATGATTAAATCATACAGTAAAAGCCAGGGAGATAGCTGCTGATAGTACATGAAGAAGAAGATGGAACGTTACACTACTGTACTAGCATTACTACTACTACTACTACCACTACTACCACCACTACTCCTACTACCACTACTACTCCTACTCCTACTCCTACTCCTACTCCAACTACTACTACCACTACTACCACCACTACTCCTACTACCACTACTACTCCTACTCCTCCTCCTACTCCAACTCCTACTACCACTACTACCACCACTACTCCTACTACCACTACTACTCCTACTCCTCCTCCTACTCCTACTCCTACTACTACTACCACTCCTACCACCACTACTCCTACTACCACTACTACCACCACTACTCCTACTACCACTACTACTCCTACTCCTCCTCCTACTCCAACTCCTACTACCACTACTACTCCTACTCCTCCTCCTACTCCAACTCCTACTACCACTACTACTCCTACTCCTACTACTACTACCACTACTCCCACCACTACTCCTACTACCACTACTACTCCTACTCCTCCTCCTACTCCTACTACTACTACCACTCCTACCACCACTACTCCTACTACCACTACTACCACCACTACTCCTACTACCACTACTACTCCTACTCCTACTACTACTACCACTACCAGTTCTACTACTACTCAACAGAGGATTTTTGATGCCAGGACTACGTGGAGACCAGGATATTGGCCCACATCTAAAAGACTCAGACCAGCTGTATTCATGGAATATAACTTCTGGTCTATGGGGGGTGTACAGATAACAAAAACAATGGTCATTGGAGGTATTCCTCTTTTAATGACACCTACAACCAAAATTAATGTTCAATTCAATTATAATTAAAAGTAATTATTACTTGTAGTAATTCTAAGCAAGGTAATAAAATAAAACAGTGAAAAGTCTTCACCACCACACAGAGGTTTGAAGGACTACAGTGAGGTGTTTAATCAACCAACAGTACTGCAGCTAAAACAGTGGTGGAGAACAACCTAACTATGAACAGGTAAAGAAGACGGTTCTATGTCTGACATCAGCATCACTGTGGTCTCTACCACAAAAACAAGACCTGTGATGAAGATGAAGATGAACAAACACCAAACTTTGGCGAAGCAGTTTTGGAAACAACATCAACTCCAAAAACAGCATCCAACAAAAATGGTGTCAACACTACACAGGGGCATTAACTGTATTTTCCCCATGTGATTAATCAGTGCATCAGTATTTAACGGAGAAAATCTATCGTAAATCTACAGCAATGTTTTCGTGATCCATGTGGAAATGAACCAGTTCTGTTCTACTAGAAAAAAAAATCCTATAAGTCCTGTGACCTTTCACTTTAACGTCATCTGGTTTCCGTATTGATGGATTCAGCCCCAGGGGCCTCATGGGTAAAAAGGTTAAGGAACCTGCCTGCACTGTCCCAAAAACAAACACATCTAGCCTTGAGTAAAGTCCGCTGGGGAACACATACAGGAACAGAGCACAGAGTCTGTCTGAAAGAACAGGACCAACGAACAAGAGACTCACTTCATCACCTGCAGACAGAGGTCTGGGCTCAGAGACCATGGATCTCCTGCACAGCTGGGGGGTCGAGTTGGCCGTCCACCTGCAGACTGGATACAGCAGCTACCAGAGCCTGTTCCATTTGGCCTCCACCGTGGCTGATCTTCATACCACCTTCTTCTGGCTGTTCCCAGTGTGGTTCCACCTGCAGAAAAACACTGGGCTCAGGCTCATCTGGGTGGCTGTTATTGGAGACTGGCTGAACCTAGTGCTCAAATGGTAAACTGGATTTTAAGAAAAGGTGACACCTCCAGGAGGTGTAATCTGAGATCTGAGTCCCTATGTCTTTGCCTTTGTCCTAGGGTTCTGTCTGGGGAGAGACCCTACTGGTGGGTTCATGAGACCCGGTTTTATGGAGCAGGACCAGTTCCTCCTCTGCAGCAGTTCCCCATCACATGTGAGACTGGGCCAGGTACGGTTCCCAGCACCCCTGCACTGAAGCACATTGTTTTCTTAAGTTTGTCTTTAGAGTCTCTGTGTTTGGAACAGGCAGGATATAGAAACAACCTCCTTTAAATGAGTGTACATCATTTAAGAGCTGATTAGTTGGCTGAAAACTTCCTCTGTCCTTTGGAGTTGATCGTCATTTTAGTAACTTTTATATAAGGTCTGTGTTTGTCCCTATACAGATTATCACATTTGTTGAGATTATTAAAAATAATTCAACTGCAAAGTTGACTTGTTTCCTCTTTTAAATCAGTTTTGTCAGAATCACTGATTGCTTGGCATCTTTCATTAACATTCAACTACTTTTAGCTATCTAAGCTACTTATCCTAGCATGTTCTCAACTGGGCATCTGGAAAACAATTTGTAAATTCTTAGCTAGAATTTAGTTTCCTCTCAGTCTGAAGTTTTGGCTAACCTTTAGCTTATTAAACTACATTCCCTGGCTAACTGATATGAGCTCCTTTGTTTGTGTTAGTTAGTTATTACATATGGCTAAATATTAGCTGTTGACAATTACCTTGTTATTTTCGGCTACTGGACTACACTCTATATAAGTGCCAAAAAGAGGAAGCGGTTCTTTGTGCTGTGCTGAAGATTTGCAGTTTTTCTCTTCCCAAAAGTAAATCAATAACCACCGTGAGGAGAGTTTGTCTCTTCTTTGCTAATATCTGAACATGACAGAGTTGCACAGTAAGCTTTGGAGTTTAGGATTGACTTTAAAGAATTGACCTAAAGATATTGAAAGTGTCTGTTTTGCAGGAAGTCCTTCAGGTCATGCTATGGGTGCAGCTGGTGTCTGGTATGTGATGGTAACAGCACTGCTCTCAACCGCATCTGAAAAGCACTGTCCTCCTCTGTTGTTCAAGTCAGTAGTAAATATGTTGTGTTTAATTTTTGCTAAAGAATTCATGTGAACATTAACAATCACAGTCCACTGTCAGGTTCCTGCAGATAGGCTTGTGGACGCTGATGGCTGTGGTAGAGCTGGTGGTCTGTATGTCCAGGGTCTACATGGCTGCTCACTTCCCTCACCAGGTTATTGCCGGAGTCATTATAGGTTAGTTCCCTCTGAATTTTTTTATTTTGTATTTTATAATAATGTTTAAAATGTTAGGGTTAGTTTCATTTGAATTAGCTACAACATTGTTATAAAACCACCTTTGTCTCAATGTCCCCTTGCTGACATACATACAACTGTATTGTGTCAGGTGTCCTTGTAGCTGAGAGTGTCTCCCGGTCTAAGTGGATCTACAATACCAGCATGAAGAAGTACGTCTCCACCACCCTCCTCTTGACCTCCATTGCTGTCGGTTTCTACCTCCTACTCAAAGCTGTGGGCGTGGACCTGCTGTGGACCCTGGACAAGGCCCAGAAGTGGTGCATTAGGCCCGACTGGGTCCTTCTGGACAGCACACCCTTCGCCAGTCTCATGCGTAACATGGGCACCCTGTTTGGTCTGGGTCTGGGCCTGCACTCACCGCTCCACACTGAGACCAGGAAGAACATCAGTGTTTCCTTTAAGTTAGGATGTATTGTTCTGTCTTTGTTTCTGCTCCATCTGTTGGAAGGATGGACCTTTTCCTCCGAAAACCATGTGACTTTTTATTCCCTGTCCT